TGTGCCCTTATGAAGTTCACAGGCTGAGAAGTACTGAGTATTTTTGGTTGTGTTGCAGGCCTCCAGCGCCAGTAGTGAACGATCTTTTTCCAAGGCCGGTCTAATAGTTCGGGCCAAGCGCATGGTTCTCAAGCCCGAGAATGTGGATCATTTAAGCTTGCTAGGGTGGCAGATGGCAGAGAGTGGATGGTCGCAGCAGAAGCTAGCGCATCGACGCACGAAGGGGGGGAAGGGAGGGAAGGGAGGGAAGGGAGGGAAGTAGTGATTTTGGATTCCAAAGTTTGGATCACCACCGGTGACCATCCTCGTTGCCCCGGCGTGGAAACTGGATGGTGGCAGCAGAAGCTAGCGCATCGACGCACGAAGGGGGGGAAGGGAGGGAAGGGAGGGAAGGGAGGGAAGTAGTGACTTTGGATTCCAAAGTTTGGATCACCACCGGTGACCACCCTCGTTGCCCCGGCGTGGAAACTGTGGAGTACCGCCGCAGCAAGGGTGCGGTTACCATAGAGATAGAAGATAAGATATCATGACTTATAATATTCCGTTGTCCTGTGTTGATGTGCACACCTTGAACACACTATGTTGAGTGGTGGATGAACCTTGGGTATCATATAGATAGAAGAAAATTTTATTCAAGAAATGCGTCCCAACACGTACTGCGATTGGTGGATAGACTTTACAGTCGCTGCCCTGGCGTGGAAACTTCTAGAGTACCGCCGCAGTGAGGGTGCAATAGGTAGAGATGGACGATAACAAATAACGACTCGTATTATTCATTGCCCGTTTTCATGTGTTGAGCTGTTGAACTTCGGCGTACTATGTTGGATGGGCTTTACACTCGCTGCCCTGGCGTGGAAACTGTGGAGTACCGCCGCAGCAACCCATCGTTATATGTGATACGTATCACCCATTCCCAAGTATGTTGAGTGGCTCAACTGTGTTCAGAGGTGAACCCTCTTTGCCGTCTGCCTCAAGTGATGTGGGTGTTTGTGTGTCCGCGTTTGGTATTGCAACTATGCCGAACCCTTGCTGCAATGGCCGGGAAGACTTGCAATGGGAGTGTGGTGCGCACTGCGTACTATGCAGCAGTACCAGCCACAGCAAGTGGTGCAAGTTGGCATGCCATACACTGGAACTTTACACACGGCTTGTGTGTTGTTCAGTTCTCCAAAACACTCCATGTATTACAAACCGCAGAATACATGACCTGGAAAACGCCCACACACGTTTATGAAGCGTGCAACCAGCACAATTCGAGCTGCTGCAAAATGGAAACCCCTGGCAACTTCGCCTTGACCTTGCCGTGGCTGGAAAGCAAGTACCTACGGGACAGAACGGACCAAAATTATGAATCCACAGATGTTTTGTCGCGGACCGGACGCCGCGCACGCCCTCCGTTAATTTAACGGCAAATAACGGTGAAGAAAAAGTGAGAGCCGGATTTTGCGGACGGCAGTACGGCAAACAGCGGACCGGATGTTACCGGACGAATATCACACTCACTTTTACGAACCGGACGCAACGGAGCGGACGGTACCCGAGTGTGGCCACCTCTAGTACTGTGGGGGACCCTTTTATTATGTTATTGGACTTAAAGGGGACGGTCCCCCTTGGCTCCGGTACGTGGGGGAGGACCTGGGGCTGAGTCATGCCCCGTTTTGGTTATGTGGCCTCCAGGAAGTTTCTGGACGCTTGACGCAGTATAAAAAGGGCAGCTGTTTGCCCTTTTGTAACATTCGTTTCTTTTCTGACTGATCTTCAGTTGTGCCCACGCGAGGCGTACCCCGCAGTACGCCAGCCTTGTTGCATCCGCCCCCTTACAGCCGCCTCCGCGCCCGCCACGGGCCGCGTCCCCTGGGCCCACCGCGCGGACCGTTCCAGCGAGCGTCCCGACCGAGCGCCACCCGGGGCCCGAACATTCCGGGCCGGGTGAGAGGAAGATCGACGCCGCCGCGTCTCCCCACCGGACGCCGCGAGAGGCCGAGGACCGGCGGCACGAGGCCGCCGAGATTCTGGCGCATTGCGCGCCATTGCACTTCTGACACTGCCTTTTCATGAAACAAATCCATTGCCTTTTCGAAAAGCTTTCAACAGTCATGCTTATGAACTGCCAAGCTCCAGTCAGGCATTATCAATGTTCTTTAGCACATCCAGAGCTGAGTAGCCACTGAGGGATTGTGGTTTGCCTTGTTTCCTTGGTCTTTCTCTGACAGCCATTGCCCAGGCAGCATGTTAGATACCATAAACCATAAAGGCACAACAAGCCTCTGATGTTTCCTTGATATGCCATTTACACAGTAGCTCTCTCTTGTTCTTTTTATGAACGCATATCTATTCTTTTCTTTGTTGGCTTCTCTTTTCTTTTCTTTTTCACCCTGACTGTTTGTTTGATAGTGGCCCAGTCAGCTGCCTTATGTCGGTCATGAGCCCGCCTTTGATGTACTGGTGCTCATGACTAGAGGTGGCCACCCGGATCCGTTAATAGCGGACAGAGGTTAATTTCCGTTAATTTTCCGTTAATTAACGGAAAATAACGAAAAAAGACAAAAATTAACCAAAAATTAGCGGATTTTTGGATTTTTGGGGATTTTTGGGTTTTAGTCATACTTATAGTTTATGGAATTCGCTATTAGAGAGTATGTTTGTATTTTATTTCAACCTATGTATACTAGATTTTCAACTAGCCGTATTTGTTGTGATTTTTTGGGTTTTTTTCGATTTTTTTGGATTTTTTTCGTTTTTTCTGAATTTTTCTCTTTTTTTCTTTAACGGAATTTAACGGACAACTGATAAAAATTAACGAACCGGACTTAACGGACCGGATGGCATCTTTAAGTGGCCACCTCTACTCATGACTAGCGGCAGTTTTAACACTTACAAATATGAGACCCCCGTTCATGGATAGGATGGGTTGGGAGGGAATCGTATGTGAACTCCCAGAGTTGATGTGCTCTTGTAAGGTTCAAAACAAATTTAATGTGCTGACATTTACGAAGTTTTGAGGGGCTATTTTGGGTGGCTACCACGACGTGTGTGGTGCCACAAGGTCGCGCTGCCCATTTTTGGAGGGGATGCAACGGAATGAGCAACAGTTTGTGAAGTTGTAAGCGCCTTGCTGTTGTTCGCTTCTGAGCGTGTGGACTTTGCACATAAGTCTTGGCGTGCAGCCCGACAAGTTTGGCTTTTTAGCCAGCGGTTTTCGGTCCCAAACGTTCGGGTTTCGGCGTGATGCACCCATGGCATGCTCGCCGTTCGGGTTGGTTGCCTTTCTGGGTGAATTTGTGAGAATCGCTGCGGTTTCTATTAGCGTTTCTGTCCATGTCCTTCTGGATTGCATGCGCTTGGACATGCAATGGCTATTGAGCAGGTTTGCCCATGTTTCTGTGGCCGATTTGCCAGCATTATGCATGCAAAGCGACCCAATCTCACCGCCTTTCGTCGCTGTCTTTTAACCGGTCGGACGGGCGAATCTTTTTTAGACTTTCACTGTGCTACCCGGAGGGGTCCGGCCACGATCGCACCCCGTCTTACCGTCTAATCACGTTTGATTATGTGCTCCCCGCGTTTCTGTCGCAGTTGCAGTCACCCCAACACACACCCATTGAAGCGGGCAAGGCAATCCGCTCTCAGACGCCCGCTGCAGCGGCGCGCCGGTGCTTGTCGCCGCGTGCGGCTGTTCCGGAAAAGGGGTGCACCGGCCAGGCCTTCCTGCAAGTTTCTCCGGCGCCCGGCGTTCCGTCCACGGCGCTGCGAGCGTCGCTGCGGATGCGCCCCCATGGCAGCGACACCCACGGGCGCCAGGCACCTGGCTCAGTTCGTGCTGTGCCACGCATGGAACCAGCGCCTGGGGCTGTTGGCGGTATCCGCGCACAGCCCCGAGATCCTCGTCTACGCCGTGGACCACGACGAGGCCGGGGAGTGGCGGCGGGTGCAGATGCTGACGGGCCACGATCAGGTCGTGTCCGGCCTGGACTGGGCGCCCACGTGCGGCCTGCTGGCCAGCTGCTCGCACGACGGCGGCTGCTTCGTGTGGCGGAAGGATCCCGGCGGCGGGGAGTGGACGCCGCTGCTCGTGGTGACCCGGCTGAACCGGGCGGCGCTGTGCCTGAAATGGAGCCCGTCGGAAGGCAAGTTTGCCTTGGGCACGGGCGCCCGCACCGCCTGCGTGTGCCACTACGAAGCCGACAACGACTGGTGAGGGGCGGCGCTGGATCCGCGGCAACGGAGTGGGGACGGGGCGTCATCTTGTTTGCACAACCGAGGGTACTGAATGAGCAGCAGTGCCGGGGAGAGCCCGGCAGCAAGGCGGCATGCGAAGCCCAGTGGGAAGCGGAACAGCGCCAAAAGTGATCGGCAAGAGTCCGCCGTTGTTCGATGCATCAGCTGACAGTACTGTGTGCATGAATATCGCACTCGTGGGTGACTCAAGGAAGTGACGCAAATGCCGTCATTGCTGTTTTTGAAAGATAACAATCCACCTTTTGGACGCTGCTCACAACCATAAGGTTACCGTTCCAAAGCGTTTCCAATTCTACCCCCAACAACCCCAAACATTGCTGGTGGACCACAAAGGGAAGACTAGAAGGCTCAAATCCTAAAATCGTACATGTCTGTGAACATTTGGTGAGGGCTGCTACAATGAACTGTAGATTTTGAACTTTTCACTTCAGGTGGGTGGCGAAGAAGATCAAGCAGCATGAATCCTCAGTGACAAGTGTAGCCTGGCACCCGAGTAGTGCCATCCTTGCCACAACATCCACCGATCGTAGATGCCGATTGTTCAATGCACTCATTCAAGGTACATGGGACGTTCCAGCAAACGTGCAGTTCGTTGTACATTTTGAGTAAACTCAAACTCAAAGGTTGGACGTGAAGAAGAACCTGACCAAACCCTGATGGGAAAGTGCGGTTTTGCAGTTTCCTGCACTGGAAACAAGCAACTTGCAAGCTGCCATTCATGTTCCTGGACTGCATCTGGACAAAGCACAGCATTGTCCTGTTGCTGCACGAATCTTCTCGCCTGTTTCGAACTATATCTTCTTCTTTCAAGATTTTGACGCCCTTGCATGCACCATGCCACCAATACATCACCCAACAAGATTCACACCAGCCAACTTGAACACTGCCCAGGTGCTGACTGTGTTGCAGTGTGTGGAACAGGTGTTGAAGGTGACAGTGGCCACTGTGAAGCTGCAGAAAGCACATTGTTTGGGGACTTGCTTATGACAATAGAATGCAAGTGGTGGCCACATGCTGTTGCATTCTCTCCCCGGGGGGCTAGGCTTGCAGTGGCAACACATGGGTCAACCATAGTCATAGTGGATGGATTGGACGCTCAAGAACCAAATGGATTGGCAAACAAGGTGCGTTCTTGATTGCCACATCTGGAACTAGCATAAAACAATGCACACATCCCACTGATTTGTGTGCATTGTGTGACCTCGTCAGAGTTCTGCGCATGTACATCAGCGTAGCTGACAGTGATGTAAGCGGCCAGCAGTTCCACCAGTTAAGTTGTGTAGACTAGGTGGCGATGCTGAACTGGGCCCATTTGCACTAGTAGAATGGCCAAGGTGCAGAATACTAGTTCTTGCAGTCTGGCTGCAAGGGTAAGTCATGACAGTGAGGCTCCAAAACCCCATGTGAACCTTGTGCCATCCACCATCCAAGGAATGCATCCTTTATTGGGTCATTCTATGCACAGGCATTTTGAAACATCCTCCTGATTGTTCGTTTGCCATCATGCCCAGGCCTTGATGGAGTACAGTACACATCATTAACGCAGACAAGACTGGATTCGCTGCAGAAATGCTAATGCTCTATCTTTTCGACAGCCATGCTCAACAACTGCCATGCAATACTGTTGAAGCAATGCACAAAACATACACTGATGGACACACTGAACATCACAAGCACAGCTAGGTGTTAAGCATTCTGTGTGTTGTGCTGTTTGTTGTTGGCGGTGCACTTCAGTTTGACAGCTGTGCAAGGTGACATGACATCAAATACCCAAACAGTGTGCAACTTTGATTGCACTGGAGCATCTCACTAACAGAGCAGTTTTTTGCTTGCAAGGATATTTTGGAGGTGAAGTTAAGGGGACTCCCTCTACGGTCTTTGTCATTCTTGTCAGAATCTGTCCTTGTTGGTGGTGGCTTTGATGGGGAACCTGTGGTCCTTGCGATGACTGCCCAATCCTCCCAGAGTGAATGGACAGTGGCTCAAGGTGACTCTCCTTGACAGACGATGTGCATTGCCTCCTGATTGCGCAAGCAATGCAAGCCATCCTGCGCTCATGATTGGTGAACACTATGGAACTCCGGGTCCAAGCTTGCTACTTGGCTGCCATCTGTTTTTTCAGTGGAGTGTGCTGGTTGCATGCAGCCGCAGTAGCAGATCAACATTCTGTGACAAAATGTTATCCTTTTCGTTTACCAAGTCATTTACCCTGTTGCAGGGCAACAAACTGAGTTTCTTGAAAATGCTGTGTGTGCACTCAATGATTCACAAGTGGATCTCCCAGATGCTTTTGCTTCCAATCCTTTGCAGATTTGGAGATTGACATGAGCAACGTGCAATTATGAACAATAACTGGAAGGGGTGATGACAATTCTACTTGGGGGGCTGGACCGTGCACATGTACAATGTACATGTGCAGAAAAGAAACATGCAAGGAACGCATGCATGATTGTATTGGTGGTGTATTCCCCAAGCCAAAAAGGAAGGGGTGGCACTGGGGCGATTTTGTCATGTTTGACATCACATTGATGCTGAGCTCTCCCTGTGTCCCATGCCCCCCCAACCCCCCACCCCCGGTGGTTTCAAACATAGTGTGGATGCTACATCCACTTTGTGCTTGGATGGGGACAGGCTGGGATGGGAAGTTGCTATTTAGGAAACCTAACCTTGCACACCATCGTCGATGGGTCTCCCAGGTAATCAAGGATGCTGAACCAGGTCCATTGTGCCCACTCCAATGACTGTGGCGATGCCAGAATACGAGCTTCTTGCTTTTCCTCTGTTGATGCCAGCTGCAAATTGAGTGCTCACTGGGTGTTTGTCAGTTTGGAATTATTACAGAAATTGTCAGCATCATGCATCTTGACCCTCCCCTGTGACTCACTATGGCGTTAAGCTTTGAGAACCAAACCTGGTGTCATGCCCAGGGATCTCATAAATTAGACATTGGAAAGTGGTGTGGACAGGTGTTATTCCCTATTGGAATGCTAAGTTTAGCATCGTATGAATCGATGGGCAACAAGACTTGTTGCTGGCTCATGGGCAGTCTCGGTGGACATTGCTCACGACAAGCTGTCTTTTTGTGCACTGGCCATATTCAAGTGAAAACATCCAACTTTGTCAACGGGAAGAAGGGGCTGGTACTTCGAAACCATGACAATCCCCACTGGATTCGAATTTGTACAAAACACGCTGTGCATGGGCAAGAGGTCTCTTGTTTCCCATATTTGCAGCGCAACAGTGGTATTTTAAACTTTGCCCTTTCTTCGGCTCCAGCAGCCTACAATGTGATGGCAATGGCCTTTTGGTGGAGGAAGTACAAATACTCAACAATCAATTGCATTCGAGCAGCTTGTGTCACTATGTTCATGCTGCTTTTGTAAACGTTGCCTGACGTCGCCAGATTGGCGAACGTGCCTGCTTTGCATTACTGTTGCTAAACGCAAGAACTCATATGGACTACTTAGCCATGCCCAGTACAGCAATGGGACTTGTACCATGTTGCCACTGTGCCACTGTCTGACTGTTGCCACTGCCGTAAAATTGTGCCCATAAGCTTGAGGTTGGCATTAGTTCATTGTGCTTACTTGACGATCGAGCAATTTACTTCACCATATGCCCAGCGTGTTGGTTGGCTCATCGGCCCGCAGCAACGTCAGTGCTCGGAGCTGGAGTGCATGGCAATCATGTGCATGGTACCTTACTAAAGGTTTCCCCTCTTGGTCAGGAAGTGGAGACTAAGCTGCTTTGCCCCGAGATACTGCCGTGCAGGTGAAACATGCTCCCACGCAAACTGCATTGTGGACCTGCTCCCACTTCATGAACGAGGCGACGACTCTCGTTGCAGATTCTCGACGGCAGGCCTTGATGGCAGAATTGTGATTTGGAGGATCAATGGCCTGGTGGCAACCACTTAAAAGGATGTGACAGAAAACCAACTGCCGCCAACACTTGTCCATACACCTCACGCTGCAAGCTGAGAAAGGCCACATACTCGTGCCCCAGACTGTGCCCTCACGATTGCAAGAGGAACGGTGCTGGCCAGATGCTCTCAGCCAAGGGCAATTCTCTGTCTGCTATCCCCAATTAGTGCAGAGCGCTGCGCCATAATGGGGCAAATTGCAGTCGTTCATACACAATGGGGCTAATTGCCGTTCAGCACAGGCAAGTGACCTGGGAGACAAGGTGGCCTGCTTGTCGCGGCCGAGAATCTGGACGATCGAGAGGTGGATTGGGGAGAATAAGATGGGCTCTGGGACGTGGTAGCGCCCAAAGTAACTGCATTGTGCACTGCTAGACACATCTAGGAAATAGTGACGATTGGGGATCGTCATACACATCCAAATATGTCTGCATAGAAAATGGAGATGGCGCTCTACTATTTGTTGTACTTGGGTGTGTCGCTGGCCACATAGTGATACCACACAATGTCGACTTTGGTAGGGTCGGCGTCAAATTGACACGGGTGGTGGGGCTGTGACGCTAAGAGAACATGTAATTGCCGCATAGTCGATGTAAACTGAAAAGAAACTGCTGGTTGGCGGCAAACCAGTCATGACTTGCTCTAAAACTCCCTCGAGCGTTCAACCGTCAAGGAGGCCTCCAAATTGTCTCGATTGACAGCATCCAGGACTGCCCCCTTTGCCGAAGATGGCTTTAAGCACCCCAATTCTTAACCGGCCGTCATCCATGCGGCGTTGGCTGTGTTGGATTCGACGAGACTTCTCAGCCTCGAAGGATTCATGCTGCGTCGTTTTTGAGTCATAACACCGTGGACATGTGGATTGACGTGTGTGGGGTGTGGTGGAGGGCTTGTTACCATCGAGAAGCAGGCCATACAAAGGGCGTCCGTCCCAAGCAAGAGTGTGAATCTGTGCCACATTGTGCAGACGATGTACACTCTACCTATCCAGGTTGATGAGCACAAACACTTTGGGCAACCAAAATTGCTACAAACATACACTCACGGTGTCCGCATAAGCAGGTGTGAATGTCTTTAACGCCAAATATAGTCTTTACCCAGCATGAACCTGCTCACCGCACCCAACAGGACCTCTACACATCAAGACTCAGATATTCCCAGGCGGAATCCTAAGAACGAATCAGTCACTCGTATGCGCTTATTGGCAAATTCGATCAGCGATCATGGAGAACGCATCATCCAGATTCAAATTCAAATTCCTGCCATTATTCCATGCTTGTCCGTTCTGTACCAAATTTTGACATCATTCATGCAGTCAGAGAAGGCCATTAGCACACTCAGGACAAAGGTACTAGCATATTTCAAGTGATGGCGACAATAATTCGCAATACGAATGTGGCATCTCAACTTATATATTCAAATGTGGTGATTGGCGACTTGTGACATTACTACTTTGTATGTGTTTTGTGCCATGTTTGGTTCGGTCAATTGATATATAACTAAAATTTAAGTGTACAAGAATGCATAGAATAAAGCCTTTGTTTCACCCGGCCCAAACGGTACCGAATGGCATGCAATAATGAGGAATATTATTTAGCTCGTAATTTCGATGCCTATTATTTCACCGTATCGCTGTTGTACCTAATTTGGGGCACCTACCACAAAAACAAGCCATAGTTGCAATGGAATTCACTTGTATTTGATATGGCACAGGCCATATTGCCATATCAATTTGCACAGAAGTCCCCCAAACATACCCCCACACTTGTACAAGCATGCTTGTTATTTATGTTTAGGTTTTTTATGCTTATGTTTTTTCACGTGAAAACATAAATTTCCTAAAGGAGCTATTTTTATGGCTGTATTTACATTTTTGCGGCTTATTGTGACACCCAGGTTACACAATAAAGTCATGTACGATGATCAATCTTGTGCCCCCTTGAGCACCTGCAACACAATGCCGACTTTGCACTCAGCAAGGACCATGACGGTGTAGAACAAAACTTCGTTTTCTGCCTATTCCAGCACGTTTGGCGGCCACTCCTCAGACTTGTCAAGGTTGTATGTACTATCTGTTGTGTGTACACTTGAGGTTAAGGCAAATTGGTCATTCTGGGTGTTTTCTTGTGTTTTGTATGCTTTTGGGTTAGTACTGTGCTTGTGGGTGGAGTTGGGTGGTGAACCAAGTACAATGTGTTTCTTTTACATTGATTATGATGTTGTTGTAGTACTTCCCACAGGGACCAAATGTGCAGCCTTGCGGGAAGTTGTATGAGCTTGTTCCTTTTCGTTCTATGCCCGTTCTGCCTCCGTGCCTCCACCAGACACCCACCGGCCGCCTGGGGCTGATCCCCAAGTAGAAGCTAGGCCCACCTTATGATACAACGAAGTTAGTGGTATGGGGCGCCTGCACTCTTTAAGCCATGGACCCGCCTTGCTGGGCACCTAGGTCCTTACAGGGACCTAAGCGAGACCACCCCGGCCTACTCCCATATCATATCGTATAATAGAATAAGGTCCAGTTGGGGTGGTGTTACCATATCTTGGGTAGGGCATCCCCCTACCCAAGATATGGTAAGACCATTAGTAGGGCGTCCCCCACATCATGCCGATGTGCATAACATTTTGTCCCCCTCAGGGAGGTGGGACGTCCCCGTCCCCGTGCGCAGATATGGGAGTAGAAGCATGCGTGACTAACAAGCATATTTTGTATATAAAAATTGGTTATATATCTCGTCACATGCCCAGTCAAACACATCATATGAACAAGCAAATACTGAAGAGAAAGAGTGGTTGCTACATGGAAAATGTTCTTGCTGACAATAGAGGTGGCCACCCGGATCCGTTAATAGCGGACAGAGGTTAATTTCCGTTAATTTTCCGTTAATTAACGGAAAATAACGAAAAAAGACAAAAATTAACTAAAAATTAACGGATTTTTAGATTTTTTGGGGATTTTTGGGTTTTATTCATACTTATAGTTTATGGAATTCGCTATTAGAGAGTATGTTTGTATTTTATTTCAACCTATGCATACTAGATTTTCAACTAGCCGCAGTTGTGATGATTTTTTGGGTTTTTTTTCAATTTTTTTGGATTTTTTTTATTTTTTCTGAATTTTTCTCCCTTTTTCTTTAACGAAATTTAACGGACAGCTGATAAAAATTAACGAACCGGATTTAACAGACCGGATGGCACCTCTGAGTGGCCACCTCTAGCTCACAACCCTCATTAAAACTCTTCCTTCAACTTACCGGTTGGAAAGTTCATGCTATTCTATAATGTACAACTTTCTACTGGCGTGGTTTTCGGTTCGATGCGGGCGATGGCGCCCGCCAAGGCACCCAGTGAGGCCGCGGGGCCTCCTCCGCCGGATTGCCGGCGGGCTTTCCAGGGCGCTCGTGTTTTCGGGTACGCAGCGTGGGCCAAGACCGCAGGGATGGCCGGGCGCGGGGCGGCTGTGCGCGCGGTGGGTGCGCGGCGCCGTGCGGCTCGCGGGTGCAGCCGCTGGGAGGCGCGAGACAAGGGAAACAACGGTTACAGTACTGCGTCAGGTGGTCACCCTTTTGGGGCGGCCACCAGCGCGTGTCACGTGACAATGCAGCGCACCGTATCGTATCATGTCCAGCGATAGTATCTCATCCCCCAATACGGTCCAGGAGAGGGCCCTAAGTACTGGATATTCAACTAGCCATATCTCCTCAACCACTAAGCCAATTAGGGTGGTTCAAAAACCTATGGACTCCTAACAGAGTCTACTTTCACCTGAGATACCATAATCACTGTACACTCCATTTCCCAGCTCCCATATAGAGAAACATTAACTACCCCCTGTAGTTTACACCACATCTACTTTATGGATTCCTGGCCTGCACATGTCCAAGAAATGTTCAGGACATACAAGGATCACCCTGCACGTCTCCCGGTGTGACCTCTTCAGGCGATCCACCCACGACCATGACCATGCTGGGTGTAGCTTGGGTTTCTGCCTCTACCCCGACCATGGGTTGCAGCGGAAGAAGAAGAAGATTTCAAACCCTGGTGCTATGACAGTTCATTGTGCATATTGCCACCATTGTATCTCTTAAATTCTCTTTTGACTACCATCCTAATTTGTCTGCCCACCTAGCCCTACAACCCCGACGCTCCTCTAGACTTCTAAGTCCGCCTTTTCCGTGCTTGAGGTTATTGAATCCCTTGATTTTTCTCTCAATTTTTGCACCCAGGTTGGCCGGCGCCCACCAGTCTGTACTAGGCGGCGGTGCCAGTACTAGTCAGCTGCCCTCGGGTCCCTCCTGCTAGCATCATCTCAAGTACCTCCCGGGTATGGACGACCGCATTCTTGTGCGCGTGGCATACACCGTTCCATGAGCTGGAGGGCCGAGCTTCCCCTGGGTGCTCTCCGGCAAGGCCCCCTATATGTTGCAACGGGCATAAATGGCCCGCCACCCTATATCCTCT